AAATAATAATGATGGATTTAGCATAATTTTATTGATTCGGGATTGAAGTAATTATTTTAAAATAATGTCACGGATTACATGCATTTCCTGAAATGAAATTCACTTTACTAACAAAACAATTACAATAACTTTTATCGAACCAATTTGACTTCATAAAAAATTCATTATTCACTTATCGGATTTACTCAAGTTTATGTAACAATTCCCTCATTTAGGTACACTGATTTTCTGACTTGCATACCATGCGTTTTTATACATTGAATTCGAAATATCTCTAGAATCACTTGTTTACTTGAATAACTCAATCTAGCCTGTTTCTTGAAACTGATGCAATTTCATAATAGGTACTTCGGATCCTTTCCCTCAAATCGTCCAGATCTGAACATTTGGCATTTATTGTTGTGATGCGTCTCCACCCTGTCAAGATGCACTACCTTATTGTTTTCCCCGTCTATACCTTCACTCAAATCCATGATGATTGCTTCTATTATACTCCATCTCCCGATATCCTTAAAAGCAGCATTACTATGCGTTTCAAGGTCTTTAGAGCCATGCCTTTGGAAATAATGTCCTCTAGATCTATGTTCTTTGTTATATTTCTATAATCATCTCATTTTTATGATCCATTATCCCATATTTCCATATGCTCGACATCGCTATGCCTGTTGAAGTAAAAGAAAACCTCTAGAATACAGGCTTTATCAAACTCAGGAATCTTATATACAGAGCATATAACTTACATTAAAAGGTTGACAAATAATAAAGGTATATAAAGTACAGGACATTCTAAAAGTTTCTATGTAACATTCACCCCTAATCGGTTTCATACTCTTTTAAATAGACAGGAAGCTTCTTCAGACGTTTTGGTCAGTTTGCGGCATGGTCAGTTATATTTTCTACAATACTTTCGTCTAGTTTCCTCAATGGTGTTACAGGTGTCCCATCAAGATTTCCAGCATTAGAATCATTGTAATTAAATTATTGCATGGGATCAGGTTCACTGGTCGTTATTTTGATTATTAGGATCATTTCTATTCATTCTGCATTCTACATTCATATCTTCATTCAACGTTTCTTAATGCAGAGCAGGATCTCCTCTTGGCGCAACGTGACGTGTAGACACCGTTGTTTCTTCATCATTAGCTAGTCTGATATGAGCATAATCAGAATTAGATTCTAGGAATTGCACTTCTTCCACGATCGGCTCATACTTGTTTTGTCTTACTTCTTCAAGAAGACTAAACCAGGAACCATTTGTGAATCTCCGAATATGACAGAATATTCTTTTATGCGGTGAACAATTTGTTGCTGTATATAATAAAGACCTTATTGAATGTGAAGAGTCGACCAGTATCTGCTGCCAATTGTCCATGTTTCTTGGTTTTAGAGCTAACTTAATAGTTTTCCATGTAATACCATTTCGTTCACACTGCCCAATTCCTTGTCTGTATGGAGTAGTGCGACTAGTTGCAACCCCATGTCTTGTTAAAAATGTTTTCAGTTCTTCAAACATAAATGATGTCCATCTATCATTATGCAGGTACGATGGTGTCCTATATACAGAAAAAAGTTGAGTTAAGCAATTCATGTCATGTCAGGATAAGGCAAATGGAAATCTAGAAAATTCATCCACAATAGTCAAAATATAGCGATTTTGGTTCTCAGATGGCAATGGACCTTTGAAATCAGCATTTATTCTTCCGAAAGGGGCAGTAGCTTTTATGATGGTCCCTTGATTTCTATGGAACCTTGGTTTGATCTCAGCACAAACGAGACAGGTGGATGAAATTCATTTGATAGTGAGAAAGGTAGATTCTTATATCGGACCCAGTGATACAGTCTTGTTAATCTTGTTATACCAGGATGACGGAGATAATTATGTAGATTATACAATGTTTTGTCACCAGAAGAAGGTAAAATCGCAGCAGATATTCTTGAAAATGTATCTCCCACGATGTTTTGATTTCCAGATTTGTATATCATATCATATTTTTAAGATAATAATTCCAGACGGCATTGCATTATTTTTTCATTTTTGATTTAAGAATTACTTGGTGAATTAAACATTAAAGCGACTGATTTCTGGTCAGTAATGAGGCTAAAGTAACGTCGGATCAAAATTTTTTTTCATTTACGGAGTGCTTCCACTATAACATGGGCTTCTTTTTCCACAGAATAATGTCGCTGTTCTGATTTCGTGAATGTTCTAGAGAAAAACTGCGCTGGTTTCCTAGATTGTGTAAGTTGAGCAGGAATAGCATATTCCGATGCGACAGTTTCAACGGTAAAAGTGGCTTCATCGTTAATGGAAATAACAACAGCGTTTTGCATATCAGTCTTCAACTGTCCAAATGCAGCAGCTTCACAAGCAGACAATGGAAACTTTTTAACTTGAATCAGTGGATGTATTTTCTCAGAAAACTTATGAATGAACTTGGAATAATGGGCAAACATCCCTTGAACTCTCCTGAGCTAAGCAGTATCTCTAGGTAGAGGCAACTTAATCGGTGGTTCTAGTCTGTCCATATCTGGTTTGATAGATTTTCGTTCTATTGTATGTCCTTGTATATTAAATTTAGTCATTCCAAGACATTCAAAACATTCAAAATTGTTTAAGATTTGTATCATGGTGTTGTTTATTTTCACCACAAATGGTTACGTCATCAAGAAACGCATATGTGTCAGAATGTGTCTTCTAAATGTTCTTGTTTGATACATTCGAAGAAAAATTTTCATGCGAGATCGCAGCATTCATATTGGAACCTGATGGTGTAAGATAAGATTCGAAATGACCCATTCCAAGTGCTTTATCAAATGCCTGTGTTAAGTTCGAAGTACAATATTCCAAAAACCTCTGTCTTATATGAGAATAAATAAGACCAGTTATATAGGTATCTCTGATGTAATTTTGTCTCTGTTTTGATCTGCACTGACTGCTTTAAAATTGCAGTCTTGGCTCATAAGCTTCAGGGCTTGTAAATATTGATCTATAGATTCAACTTGTTGTTTTCTTGATGATAATGAGTGTCTGGCAAATATCTCATATTAATAGCATTTTCAAAAATAGCGCATTCATTTATACATTCAAAAATAAGAGGACTAACGTGATTGCTTGGCAGATTAGGTTTGTTTTTATCTTCTTCCACTTTGACAGCTTCCAGTATCGTCGCCTGGATAAGGTATCTTCGTTTTTATGCAGTCTAATAAAATAAAAAGTTTGATTTGAATATGGTACTGTCACAACTTCTCAATCCCGAAGGTTGAGAGTCATCAGGAGGAGAGCGAGATCTCAGTCATACGCAACAGTCACGTTCAAAATATCATCTTCTTTTTCAGCGGTAACATTCGGCGCCATTTCAAGTTCCTCAGAAATTCCGGTTTGAACCCATTCTCGCTGAAATTAAAAATTTTCAAAAATTCGATACTGTTCTCTTTGTTGTTGGGATTTTTCTTCTTAATTTTCTTTGGATCACACATCCTTTGATTTAGTATACTGCTGTCCAAGCTTGAGTCGTAAGGATTGAGAGGCTATTGCTTGAGTCGTAGAGATTGAGAGGCTATTGCTTGCGTGGTTTCGGTCGTATCTGGACGATCGTCAGCAGCCAGTTGTTGTATCGGGTAGTAGGTCTTCAGTCTTTAGGAATATTGAGGATCGAGAATGGGGTACCACATGAATCTGTTCTGGGGCCCCTTCTGTTCCTGATATATACATATACAGGATCTTGTCAGAGTTTTTTCTTGACCTTGTAGATTAGTTTATAATCAAACATTCAAATTACCTACTAATTAGTTGATTTTCGTTAATGTGAAAAGTGGAGTACATAAAGTGGTCGCGACCAAACACGTATGAGTGTGCGTGTGTTCCACAGACGCCCGGGTAAGCCGAAAAACAACCCTTCAAGTCCACCAGCTATCGAGATGTGACAGCTGATCATGATGTCACAGATCACCTACATACAGATGCGAAAGAGCGGCGAATTTTGGTTCAAGGTTAATTTGGCCGCACCAATGCCGGCCGCATCAATAAATTTTGAACATATTTATGCGGAAGCTCAATAATATAATATTATTTCTTAAATTAATTTACAAAAAGCAGAAAAATATTCTTTTCGTTATGCTTTATTTATTAAATAGCCGCAAAAATAGGTAAACACGACAGACTGGAACACGCTCACGCACTCAGCAACGTTAATTGTCCTGATGCGGGCAATCTGTGTCTATGCGTCTGGGGGCTGGCCCCCTTGCGGTGCCGCGGTTTCGTAGCAAAATCGTTCGACGGCAAGGATACTTACTTACGCATCTGTATTAGGCGATCTGTGATGATATGTGCGACAATCTAACGCACCGCGCTCGACACCTTGATCTTGTGCTGGTGCACGAGTAGGGTTTTCGGCGACCGATCCGACATCCGACCAGTGCACTCAGTTCCGGCCGAACTTACACTAACCGAAGAAAGGGCCTCTATCTCTACAACCAATTAAAAATGCAGCTGCAGTGTGCCAAATGTAATTCACAATGCGTACTTAAGCGTAGGCCGAAAGATGGCGAGACGTTTGGAGCCAAATGTGATGACTGTGAGGTCAGCATCTGTAAAATATGTGCTGGCCTGGGATCTTCCGAATGTGACAGCCTAGCGGCAACCAATAGACGACTGATTTTTCTATGCGACAACTGTGAGAGCATGAGAAGGCGGAGGATAGCTGAAAGGGAAGAAATCACAGCAGGAGAATGCGAGAAAATTAGTTCGATTCAGTCTATGGAGAGGGAGCATACAGCAAAAATAAATAAGCTTGAAGGCTTTTTAGAAGTTTTGAAGGACAAATGCAGAAAGAAAGACGAAAAGAAATTTGTACTCACCAACCAAATTGAAGACAATGAAGAACAACATATCACCGAAACACAACACTTAAGGGATGAAGTGGCAAATAAAGAAAATTAAGAGAAATTCGAGTGTTTTTGAATCAGAAGCAATTGAGTGCGAAAAAACCTTTGAAACTCAAATGCATGAGCAGAAACGAGTTATAATTGACCCTAATAGCAGACTAGAAAATCTTAATGAGGAAACCAAGAATATATTAAGAGAAAATGCTGAAAAAGCAGAAATGGAGGCGCAGCAAAACGAAAAGAGAGTCAAGGAACTAAAGGACAAGATAAGTGGGCTGTTGGATAGAAGGACTGTGGTTGAGGAGGAATTACTAAGAGCCAATAAAGCCATCACGACATTAAAGAGGAAAGAACAAATACTGGAGGGTGATGTTAGAGATCTGACAGATACATTGAATGATAAAATAGTCAAGACTGGAGAATTAAGGGAACAGATTCTAGCACACATTTGGGAGAGAAGTGGGTCGAAAACACACTCGCTTGCAACGATGATACCTTGGATAGCAATAAAGATGATAACGCAACTGCAAGTCATTTTTTACGCTTGCCGATGCCAATACAACTTCCAATGTAACAACTACAGAACACACGTTTCTAAATAAAAGCAAAACATCTCTTCCTCAGATGAAAAGCCGTGCCAATCTAAACTCTAATAAACGTCTAAAGAAATATAATTTATTCATTCTCAATTTGCAAGGATTGATGAATAAGGTTAACGAGTTCTATTTGCTGCTATCGGAGCTAGATTTTCCTGAAGTGCTGCTTCTCTCGGAGCACTGGCTCGTGGAGGGGGAGCCTGGAGTTCTGGAGAGCTACGCTGTAATAAGCAGATACTGTAGGAAGGACTTTATCCGGGGCGGCACACAAATTTTGTTGAAGTCAGAGTTGGTTGAGACATTGAAATTACAAGCATTTAATGACCTTGACCATCTCATAGAACAAAAAGTCCTTGAGTTTTCCATAACACATAACAAGGCTGAAAACATCTTCCTAATTTGTCTCTATACCTCTCCATCAATTATATCATCAAATAGTAAACTATTGTTTAATAAGCTAGAACTACTCTTATCTCAGATTCCTTTTAACGCCAAAATAATTATTGTTGAAGATTTGAATATTGTTTTTAAGCAAAGAAACTCTAACGATACACAAGAACTCATTAATTTACTAACCTCTTTTGATATTAATGTGCACAATCATGACTACACCAGAATTACTGCTACCTCAAAAAAGATGTTGGATTATGCATGTTCTAATATAAATTAAGCACTTGAAACTCAAACAATTAGACCTGGACTGTTAGACCACGAGGCTATCATCTTAGCCATAACTTTTAAAGCTGACACCTATCAAAAAGAGCTAAAACTGGGCAGAATCTATAGCAAAAAGAATTTTAAAAAATTGTGGTTAAGCACAAACTGGAATGACGTGTTCGACAAACCATCAGATCCATTTCGCTACTTTCACACTCTTCTTATAAATAATTTTGAAAAAGCATTTCCAAAGATAAAGATTAAACATAAAAACGCGATACCATGGATAACCATAGGATTAAAAGTATCAAGCTAAAATCTAAGATCATTACATGCTATAAGTAAGTACCTTTCTAACGACCACTTTTTTACAGCTTATGCAAAGAGATACCGAAACGAAAGTGTATCAAAGTGGCAAAGCACAGATATTATCAAAATAAATTAGATAAAGCTAAGGACAAATCTAGGGAAAACTGACAAATAATCAATTCGCTACGCGGGAAAACCAAAAATTTAAACTGCAAGACTAGCACTGAACCAGAGCTAATGAATGATTATTACTGCTCAGTTGCAGAAAACTTAACCTCAAAACTCAGCTCGTTGGTAGATCATATCTCCTTCTTGGAGCATATAAATATTCCCGAAGTTCTAACATTGGCTACAACATCTCTTCTGGAGGTAAAGCAAGTGCTTACCATAATAAAAAACAAAACTAGCTCAGGCATTGATGGTTTGTCCACCAAAGTCCTAGAGCATCTTCCAGATGCTACTCTGTCAGTTCTTGTGGAACTCATCAATCAGTCCTTTATCATTGGCTATTTTCCAGATTGTTTGAAACAGGCTCTTGTTCTACCAATTCACAAAGGTGGCGACTTGGAGGACCCATCAAATTTCCGCCCTATATCATTATTATCTTCTCTTTGCAAAGTTATTGAGAAAATTGCTAAAACAAGAATTACTTCTCACTTTGAAAAGTTTAACATCATCGCACAATCTCAGTTTGGATTTCAACAAAAAAAAAAGGCACGCATGACGCCATATATGCTCTCTTGCAGGAAGTATATCTCAATATTAACGAGGAAGATTCGGTTGCGGCGGTGTTTTATGATTTCTCAAAAGCCTTTGACTGTGTGAATCACGAAATACTGTTGCAGAAGCTGGGTCACTATGGCTTCAGGGGCTCTTCTGCAAGATGGGCGTTATCTTATAACATAGGCAGATCCCAGATAGTCAACTGCAACCAATCTTTATCAAACCGTAAAGAAATAACCCAGGGAGTGCCACAGGGATCTGTTCTCGGCCCTATTTTCTTCCTTGCCTATATTAATGATCTCACCTTTAACAACATCAATGGAAAGTTTTATGTCTTTGCTGATGATAGCACTATATTGTGGACAGGTAAAAGGGACGAGCTTGAGGATGTGATTGAGAGTGATCTAAAAAGGGTTAAGGATTGGTGTGATGCGAACCAGTTGTGTTTTAACATAAAAAAAAAAAACTAATATTATCTCCTTTAGATTCTCCATAAATTCTATACCCCTGAGTGACCAGCTTATCGAGTCTCATCAGAATGTAAAGTTTCTTGGACTGGTGCTCGATAAACAGTTGGATTTTAAAGAACATATTATCCAACTCAAACCTACACTATCATCTGCCTGTTTTGCACTTAAAATAGTTATTAAGGAGCTCAATCTGCACTCAGCGAGGATGGTGTATTATGCTCTGTTTGAGTCTCGGGCAAGCCACGGGGTGGCCTTATTTTTGAACTTCCTTGTACGGGAAAAGCTTTAGAACTTTAGAACCAATTCCCGTTGAGCTAAAATATGAACTAGAAAAGTATGAAAATCTTAATCCCGGCTCTACTGGCCAAAATTCAACTAAGAGATATACATAATGCCGATTTCTTACCATTCTATAGTTGAAGTTGGACCAGAAACGGTGACAAAAGTCATGTTTGAACTTCCTTGTACCATAATTCAAAGGGAGAATATTTAGAACTTTAGAACTAATTCCCTGAGCTAAAATTTGAACTAGAAAAGCATCATAATCTTTTTCCTGGCTCTACTGGCAAAAATGAAACTTAAAGATTTACTAAACTTTGATTTCTTACCATTCTATAGTTAAAGTTGGACCAGAGAGAGTCACAAAAGTAATAATTGAATTTCCTTGTACTGGAGAAGCTTTAGAACTTTAGAACCAACTCCCCTGAGCTAAAATTTAAGCTATAAAAGCATGGAAATTTTATTCCCGGCTCTACTGGCCAAAGTTTAACAAAACCATTTAAAAAAAACCTTGATTTCTTACCAATCCAGGGTAGCACGAGATGGTATTTATATTTTGCCCTTTTTTATTCCCACTTAAGGTATGGCATACCTTTCTGGGGCATGAGTAGTCAGTAGCTGCTAAACATCGTAGTTTTATTACAGAAAAAAAGCAGTGCGTTGTATCATGGGGGCCAATCAAAGGTTCTATATTGTATTGACAAAATTTTAAATATATCTTCCTTGATCGTCCTTGAGACTGCTAATCTTATCCACAAGAATTTGGGTTCAATGAGGCGAGTTCCTCTTTCAATTCCAACAAGCACCCTGACAAAACAATCATTGATTCATGGAAACAAAAAAAATTATAAACAACTACCACCAGACATTAAATCCCTTAAAGGGATTCAGAGGTTCTTTGTGGGAGCTATTGGTTGATTTAGCAACTGATTTTTAGTTTTAATTTTGTTTTGTATTGTGTAGCAATACGCCCCAAGTACTCTATGCAATTGGTTAGATGGTAAATGGCGACCGGTATATTGAGGTTTTTTTATTCCTTGGAGCTGCTACCTATAAAATTGTGGAGGGTCTATTCGCAAAAGAGTGAAAGCAACTATTGAGGTTTACTAAATTATATTTTATTATACATAAAACCAAAATTTTAAATAGGCAAAATATCTTTCAATTCTGACAGCCACTTCTATTTTTCCCAATTCAAATTATTTCACATCCATTCAAATTTCTTTACTACGGACCAGGAAATATCCATACAAAAAGAAACGCCCTACTTCTACTATTCTTAATAACTTATAAGTTTATCCATTACAACACTTCCGATTCACATTCCTATTAAACTACCTTTCACCTATATCTATAAAATCTTAAAAATTCCTAAGTCCTTTGCTGACTGCTTATGCAAACTAATTATTTAAGTCATAATCCGACTCACCATATTTTTATAAAAATCTTACAATAATTTCTTCATAAAACAAAACCTAATTCAAAATTTCAGCACTTAAGATTATCAATGTTTCTCCATGAACCACAAATTTCAAAAAAAAAACCTTCGACAGCAATTTTATTTCATGAGGAACAACAAGTTACTTTTCGAAACTTCCATTTTATTTAATGGTTTATTTAATCAATAACTCCTACTCAAAATCGTATCGTCAGGAGCATTATAATTTTCCCCTTTGTTAATTCTTTGCAAAATTAAAGCAATTAAAGTTATGTAATACAGTTTTTCCAGTCAAAATCACTCAAGTTTTTATGCATTAAAAGTCATTGTCAATTCATTTCTTGTCATTCAGAATCATTGTTAAAAGTCAGAAAAACAATAATAATCACTAAAGTACTTATATTTAAATTGTCACTCGATAAAATACTTAATTTAATTTACTTCAAAAATCTATAGAGCACGCACATAATGTTGAATGACTTTAAATGTTATGTCTTTCACAATTCTCTGTACTTTTCAAAGTTTAATCAAACGCGTTTTCCCCGAGGCCTCAAAAGAAAGTCTTCGCGAATTTTACGCGGACTGACACATTAGGTACTGTAGACTTTAACTCAAACTGGACTGACCTTAAACTCAACTAACAACTGATTTCCACTTCTAAAACCGCCTGTTTTATATTTTTTCGATTCCCCCCCAAAGTATTATTAATTATCCACCAAAATCGACAATAGGCGGTCGTTTGACCATCAATAAGTCAATTCTATTGGTCGACCTAGATATTATCAAAAGATGATGATGCAATCTATTTGAAATTTTTGTCATTTTTATTTTCTTAAATTCGAATAATTATGTCGCAATATCCTGGTTTATAGGGGTCAACAAATTTTGGTTCAGGAATGTGAGGACAACACAAAGAAGACCGACACACGTGAGCCATAAATCACCGATTTAATTACTTTGGCTTCGCTTTTAATAAGTTCATTGATTTGATTTTAGGAGATGACATCACGCTTGGTGACTAAATAATAGAATTTTAATCCAGACTATTTTTCCGGATCATTACGATTGTAATGTATACTTTTTTTTGGTTAAGAGCTGTTTTTTTATTGTATAATGACAGATTTTAATTTTAATTTGAGTTATCTTGGATTTTGTTAATTTTGTGAATAGATTGACTTCGACTTTGACTTTCTGATGTGTTTCTTCTTGTATTGCTTTCTGTCTTCGAACTTCCTTTTTTTGTTTATCTTTCAATTTCAACTTAATTTTTATTTAGCCGACTCATAAATTTGAAAGGTATACTTACCTACGTATTCTCCCAGTTTAAGTAGCTACCCACAATAATGTTATTATCAATTGAAAATTCCAGACTTATTTTACTAAACGAAAATAGAGAATATTATTATGCCGTTAATTCAAATAACATTTTTAATATTCTATTAGGCCTATGAATCTACAGTTAGCGTATCGCGTGCACATATGACCTATAACATACAATAACAATTTTTTTCTCTAAAACCCGTTTGCATTTCGCATGTCACCTCATAATATGGCTTGGCGGAAATTGTGCCATGAAGATTTACCTCAGTATTATTTTTAGTTACGAAAATCACATGGAAATTGGATGGCAATATTTATTTCAAGAATTACTTTAAGCTCAACGTTTTTCGGGTTCCATAATCTCTCTTGAGTCTTCAGTTCTCCCTAATTAACTGTAACTTCTCTAGGAATTTCTTCGTTTTAGCCGTTTTGGCATTGACCTGGTTACTCTGTACATTACATTACTGATGCATTCCAAAAATGCAAACTTGCAAGGTTTCATCAGCCAATTCCCAAATGCTCAGAAATATGGATCATTGTCCATTGATATGTTATAACTTGGATCCATAGCAGCCCTCACTAAATATTAAATGATTAACTAATCTGCAATAGATATATTTAATAAATCCGTAATAAGCGTACATGGATCTACATAAATCCTGAAAAAGTGCAACGGTCAGATATAGAAAAATACAAGCAAAAAAAAAATATGTACCAACACCAACTGTTTTATTATCTGGAAACACATCAACTTCTTGTTCCCATAAAATTCCAGGAAAATAATTTATCTTTATATCCCAAGAGCATACAAAGAAAATACCTCCATAACTGAGGTATTAAAGAGTTTCTGAATAGACTTATTTACCTTCTTTAGGAGACTATAAGAATACAAAGAAAGTTTTTACGATTTCAGATAATAATCCTGAATAAAATGACTTAATCTCAATCAATATCCAATTCAGCATAAACCAAACCTTTCGTCGCCTTAGTTTACATGGACAGATAAATCAATTCGATGAAATTATAGCTGCACACATGCAACGAAACGACTTATGCCTCTCTCCTTTCATCGTTTCCAGAGAAAATCGAAATTCTCGATCCGTTGAATGAAATAATAAATCGCTCTTCAGTCAGGGTCACCAGAGAGTAAAAAGCTCTCGCTCTAGTTTCACCCGGATTAGGAAACCGAAATGATTTATGTTAAAGTGTAATGTGCAAGTGCTAAATTTTTTTTTATTTGTAGGTTTTACCAGGGCTGTACGTTGGTAACTATAGAGATTCAAAAGATTCGTCCCAATTGACCAAACACAATATTACTCACATCGTTGCCATCCACGATACAGCTCGTCGAATTCATTCGGTAAGTGTAAAAAAAATAATTTTTACCTAAACTAAAACCTATAGCTACATCTTTGTCTTACTTTTTGAGGAAAGTGCTATAAGTTTATGAGACAAGAATTTCTTACTTTACTTTTGTTTTAATATAAAAATTGACATCTTGAATTTTGAAAAGTTGTACATCTAGAGCTTCCTGGCTTTTTGATCTTCTTGAAATGCAATCTTAAACTTATAAGATAGATAGTATGTGAAACTGTGCAAGAAGATCAGGCGAATTCGATATGAATAACCCAGTCGCTCTTAGAACATAGTTGCGAAATCCTACTATAATTATGCCTTGTGTACCTTGTTCCCTTATTGGTTTAGTTTTCCCTTTCGAAATTTCAAAGTTACACAAAACACATAGACAATTAAAGTTGAGGAAAATTCAGTAGCTTTAGTAGGCCCCTCCCCATGCATAGTTAAGCCAAAAGAGTCAAACCAATTAGATACCAATTGCGAATGAATTTGTGTTTTATCTGCAAAATTAACGTTAAAATCACCTAAAATGAAAACCTTCCCTGCAAGAAGCAATTCCAACCTAGATGTGAACATGTCTGTACTTGGCGGCCTGTACAAAGAAAAAATAAAAATTTAATTTGGGCATATTGCGTATTAATTATTGAAAATTTAAACTCTTTTAAAAGCACCACGTCTGGGAAACTTATATTTCTTTTTCTTTCTCAGGCATGTCTCATCCAGTGCTGAATATATATATGCCTCTTCCATGTCTCTCCGTCTTGTGCCGTCCTCATTCACTTCTTTCCAGCTATAATAATGATGTTGTCTGTCCATCTCAGTCGTGGTCTGCCTATTCCTCTTTTTGTCTGACGTGGTCTCCATTTCGTAATTATGTGCGTCTGACTCGCCACATGTCCAACCAATTTCCACTTAAGGCTTGCCACTCTATCTAGGATATCTGTTACTGATAAAGTTTGTGAGGCTTTCGCGGTTTATTGATAAGGGGTTTTCATTCGGGCCGTCGTAAGTTGGAATTTCTTCCTGACGTTTCGCTAGCACGCGTGGCTAGCATCTTCAGAGGTGCTTCCATGTCCGATTCTGGTAGCAGACTGACGCGTTCCCGACCGTAAGTTGTATTTATATGTGAGTGGCTGTGGTGGGGGAGGGGCAGAGCTTTGCGGCATGTGGTTAATCTCATCTTTCTCTGTACTCAATGGGACCTTTCTTGCATTTTTGAGGATCGGGTTCCAGATTTGGTTAAGTTTTAATGTTTCTTCTTTCCTGTTGACGTTCTCCGTATGTTTGTGGATTTCTATATCTTCATGTACAAGACGATTGTGGTATCCGGAAGTCGGTGCAAGAAGTTTGACCTCACCAAAGAGTATTTCATGATTCCCTTCACTAAGCGCATGTTCCGCAACTGCCGATTTTTCCGATTGTCCTAGTCTGCAGTTTATTTTGTGCTCGTTCATCCTGGTTCCCATGGATCTTTTTGGCGTTCCTATGTATACCTTACCACATGTGCATGGTATGCGATAGACTCCAGCGCTTGACAGTGGGTTCCTCTCATCCTTGGCTGATCTGATTGATTGCTGTATTTTCCTTGTTGGCTTGAAGATTGTTTTTATGTTGTGTTTCTTCAAGACTTTCCCTATCCTGTCTGTCACCCGAGAAATTAAAGGCAGATATGCATTAGCCACGACTGGTTGTTCATCCACGTTTTGTCGTGTCGCAATTTTGGGTCGCATGGCTCTGTCGATTTCAGATGCATTGTAACCATTTGATAGAAAGGCCGATTTGAGATGATTCAGTTCGTGACTCGCAGATGTTCCGAGCACGTTCTGTTAACGTTGTTATAATTCCACGTTTTTGCCTTGGATGGTGGTTTGAGAGTGCATGCAGGTACCTGTCTATGTGTGTAGGTTTTCGGTATACCGTGTGGCTTAGTTTTCCTCCAGATTTCTTTATGAGCACATCTAAGAAGGCGATTTCCTGGTTTTTCTCCTTTTCCATGGTGAATTCTATGCTAGGATGTTGCTCGTTCAGGTGACCTAGGAATTGGTTAAGCTTCTCTTCCCCATGACTCCAAACCACAAAAGTATCATCTACGTATCGAAGCCATACCGTTGGTTTGTGGTCAAAAGATTCTATAGCTAATTTCCTCTCGAATTCCTCCATAAAGAAGTTGGCTATGACCGGGCTGAGCGAACTTCCCATAGCTACACCGTCCGTTTTCTCGTAGAAATCGCCGTTCCACAGGAAGTAACTACCAGTGAGACATGTCCGGAAAAGCTCAACTATGTCAATGGGGAAGCTACTTGATATCAAGTCAAGAGATTCTGTCAATGGCACTTTTGTGAATAGGGACACGACAAAGCTGACCAGGATATCGTTAGGTTGAAGAATAATATCCCTAATTTCTCGGACAAAGTGAGTGGATTCCTTGACGTAAGAGCTAGTTTTTCCTACATGGGGTTGAAGAAGCGATGCAAGATGTTTCGCTAGGTTGTACGTTGGTGCTCCAGGTGCACTCACTATAGGTCTTAGCGGGACCGGTTCGTGAATTTTGGGTAGGTCGTAGAGTCGTGGTTGAACTGCTTCTGTTTTTATGATGCCTTTCTTCTCCGTGTCTGTTAGGGTAGATAACCTAATCAGTTTGTTGGTATTCCGGAGTGTGGCTTGTGTGGGATCCTTCTTCGGCTTTCGGTAGGTAGATGGATCAAGGAGTTCCTGAATTTTCTGGTTGTATTCTTCAGTTCTTAACAGGATAGTTGCGTTGCCCTTATCCGCAGGTAGGATGATCATATCTTCCGCTGAATTCAGGTTCCCAATTGCCATTAGTTCCTTCTTAGCGAGGTTACTGGTTGGTGGTCGAGCTGTTTTTGTTATTTCGTCCACGATGTTTCTTTGTTGATTTTCAATTTTAAAGATGTTTTGTTTTTCTCTTTGAAAGCTTTGATCTTAATATTTTCATGTTTTTATTTGTTGCAATTATCGTTTCCATAATTTGTTTTGTATGCTCTAAGATATACCCTAATTTCCCTTTTTACAAGTTTGTTGAGTTTCCTGTTCTGAAATGAAATGAAATGAAATATATCTTTATTAAATAGGTTGGTTACGTTGGTACACCTAATATACACAAAAAATACAATATAAGATAATGCCCATTAGACATACAAGTATAACTATCTACAAAATACAAGTAAAAATCTTAAGAAGATAGCAGCACATTACTCTGGTTCAGCCGATCACATCAAGATGGTAAATGCAATAACAGATTAATTATTCTTTAGCCTGAATGTAATCCCTCAGCCAATCTTTGAAACGCTGAACTGAGGGAAGGTTCTTGATATTATTTGGAAGACTGTTAAATTCCTGAAAGTCTTTAAAAAACAATGAGTTCATTGTACTCTTGAAATTCATTCTTGGAATAAAGAGATGATCATTATTCCTTGTAGGGTAATTATGGATATCCCTATTAAAAACATCAAATGGCTCAAAATAAGGTGGTGCTAACTTATTTACAATCCTGTATAGAAATATTATAGTAAGTGCATATAATCTATTCGTAAGAGAGAGCCAATTTAACGAGCTTAGCATAGAAGCGTTGATTTACAAATTCAATACTCTCATTATCTATCAATAATTGAGGATTAATGTCTACACTTTTCTGATATCTATACTTAGATGCAAAAATCATCGCCTTTGTTTTTGATACATTTATTTTCAATTTATTATTCCTTAAGTCTCTGACAAGACCCCATTCATTTTTCTATAGCTTTGCTGAGATCATTCTCACTGCAAACCAAAAATGTGTCTTCGGCAAAAAGATTTATAAACTCACAGTTCACAAACATATTGATATCACTGATGTATAATATGGAAAGAAGAGGTCCCAACACACTCTCCTGTGGTACTCTCATATTATTACTTATTTCACTAGATACCTCTCCATTAAATCTTACGTTTTGTTTTCCATTACTCAAATAGTCTGCAAACCATTCCAAAACACTACCAGCAATACCATATTTTTTAAATTTTTACAAGATCTATCGTTTCGAAGGCCCTCTTAAGATCCAAGAATACACCCACAACAAACTTATTACTATCAACATCGTTTCTGATTTTACATAATGCCAACTCAAAAGCGGATTCGCCGCGAAATCCAGATTGGTTAGTTATCAGAATTCCATTATTTGCAATATGTTCCAAAACTTGATCATACACTGCCATCTCCAAAACCTTTTCCATAGGTGCAAATGTGTTTATTGGACGAAATTCACTGGCATCCATAGAATTATTGACCTTCTGTATTAGAATTAAGGTACTACACTTTGATTTATCAGGTACTTCACCAGTCCTAAGAGATGAACAGAACATTTATTATCAAGCATCAGAGATATCCAACAACTTAAACCTAGAAACATCCAAATTCAAATTTGCATCAAAATTGGTCCATTTCTGACCATTTTGCATGCTTTCGTCAATTCTTTCTATACTGCTAACAAAATAAAAGGTAAAATTTGCTGCGATCTCCGAACAATCTCTGAGAGTTTTCCATTCATTTTTAATGTCAAAGGAGATACAATTTGGGATCTTAGAACTACCCGTGCCAATCCCACTCTTCAGTGTTCTGTTCCAAATTTCCTTGGGGTTGCCCTTAAACATATCTATATATCCATAGTAATACCTTTCTTTCTTTAACCTAAGAAGTTCAACCGTTGTTCCTGTGAGACTTGAACTCTTGCCACTTATGTTGCATTTCGTTATCATTTGCATTTCTAAAATTTTTATAAACCTTGTCACGATCTTTAATTTTATCAAAAACTTCATTATCAAACCCAGGTAAGTTAGATTTATAGTTGCAAGTCTCTACAGGAGCAACATCGTTATTCACTTTGCCACAATTTTCCAACAATTCTTAAAAAACACTCTCAACATTAACAAAGTTCAAATTCCATTCACACAACAATAAATTCAACTTTATAATATCCATGTTTTCTCACCAGTATTTCTATATTT